AGCAAACGCCACGGCAGAGCGTGACGGAACAGAATCTGCAAAAGAGAATGTCGAGAAACAGAATTTTTCGGATATTTTCATTGAAAATTTTAAAATTTTCACAACAATCTGTAATCATTCTTGGCTTTATCCATTCACCACACAATTTTGTCCAAATACACAATTCAAAACCACTATCAAACGATATAATACCTCAACATTCAACATGATATTTTTAAACGTTCCTGTAAAACACCATAATAATATAATATTTTGCTCATATTCATAATAACAAACACAATAATAATAACAAATTCTTATTCGTATTCAAATGATATGACTATCTTATTCAACTTTTAAAAGATACAAAAGATATAATGACTATAAAAATGATAACAACAATAACAATAACGGATCAATAACGATCAACAACGAACAGATCAATCGATCAATAACTCACACCTACTTCGTGCAGATCACATCAGATCAGATCGGATCAATAATAACAATCGCAATAACACTACCAAATCAGAACTTACATGCATTTCATGCAGAAACGAGCCAGTGGTGCAGTTAACTAAGCCCAACGTGCCCACGGCCTGTCTCGCAAAATTCTGCACGGTATTCACCAGAATCGACCTCTCCTTATAAAAAGTCATATTCGTGGCCACCACCGAAGGCGTCAGACACTGCACCTTGATCGTCGGCCATTCCCAGTCGATTGTCTCACACAAAAACGTCATCACCGTCTTTAATTATGCGCTAATTAACATCAAATTGAGGCATTTCACCTGATTCATTTAAAAATTTCCGGAGAACACCTCAAATTTTATCCATATTCAATTTTGTCTTAAATAAGTTCAAATAACAATAATAAATAATAACAATAATAAATAAAAATAATAACTAACCTTCGCGGCACAATAAGCACCTAAATACGGAAACGGATTAAAGCTCAAAATCGAAGACATCACAACTATCTGCCCACCGCCATTTCGTTCCATTGGAGGTATCACCATCGACAGAAACTTAAAATTCACAATAACAATAATAATAATAATAATAACAATAATAAAATAACAATAATAAATTCCTCACCTCGGCCGATCCCATGCAGTTCACCTTCATAATC